TCCACGGGAGACTCGACGGGGGTCTACGTTGGCGTGAAAAAAATATGGGGGTCCACGAGTTGTAAGTGGGGTCCACGAAAATTTGTCTGGTTTCGATAGTAAAGAACCAAACTGGTTGCATTACATTAATTAATTAATTGGTTGGTTTACATTAATTTTTTTGAGTATTGTGCTCTTGACGCACTGCTACACTTACCGTCGCTTTGTGTCTTCATACGTGGGGAAGCCTTAAATTCCACCTGCAGACTAAAAAGGAGCCTCACTCAAAAAAAATGCTGGCGACAGAGATTTAAGCACTTGTGTCTTTTCAATGCTACAGGATAGTACGCCACCATAACCTTTGGTGAAGAGATTCTATAATATTGAGTAGGGATGTGCCGGATAGAGATTTCCGGTTTCGGATATCCGATCGGATATCCGGTAGACTGCTGCCCTTAATAAATTTTACAATATTGTTATATTAGGTTTTCTTTTGTTTAGCTAGATTATCTGCTTTTTCGAGCTGAACTATCCAATACGTAATTAAGAATACATATTTCTGAAATCCAAGTTATGATATAATCCTGTTTTAAAAAGATAACTTTTCTGTCTGCCACCCGGATTTATCGTTTATTTTTGGAAAATAGAGGAGAAACGTCAAAGACAAAAGATAAACAACAATGAACGCCGCTAAGAAAAAACGCGTGATTGATTTTTTAAATTTAAAATGTGATGAAAATCGAACTAATGTGCATGGTTACATATCTTTTTGCTTTCCGAAACGCCCCGTAAGGCTTCATTGTTGCAATATTTTCTGACACACGTTTCAAAACTCCATTTCTTTTCTGACATCAATAAATCTAAAAACTGGGTAGATGGTGAACTAAATAATTCGAAAATATAAATTAGTTAGCATAGGGAAACCTGCTGAATTATATGAAAAACGTCGAATTCTAGTGAAATCTTCTATTGAAGAGCGAAAGCAGGATATTTGGTAATGCTTTGAGGAAATCGCCAACGGCTTTGATACTAATTCCAGCTTTTCTAGTGATGTGGGTAGCCAAACGATGGAGAAATATTTACAGCTGCCCCTTATACCCAGACAAGAAGATCCTTTAATTTGGTGGAATCATAGACGGCTGTTGTTGTTGTTGTAATTATTGTAGCGGCTACAACAACCCCGCCCAGATCGGCTAGTATCTCAGTCGTTGTCGTAAATTTCAACTAACGGAAGGCCCAAGAAGCGTGCAGCCTCTATACGGTCTGTCCATAGGGACAATGGAGTTAGTTTTGTGAGGTTTTCCGGGCATACGAGGAGATCTGTAGAGTCGTGGGGTGTCTCTCCGCATGCCGGACACTCATTTGGCACATCTGCATCTAATATGCTCAGGTATGAGTTCAACCTGCTGCAGTAGCCAGAGCGAAGTTGGGCTATCGTGGTCCGAGTCTCCCGAGGCAGACGAAGCTCCGTCTCTTCTACGTCAGGTAGTTGTGTGCCCAGACGGCATTCGCAGGTCTCGAGTTTACGTAACTTGAGACTGACTCCCTGTGAATGCCGCTCAGGGCCTGCCCATATGCTGACGGCTCCAGAGGTTGCTTTGTGAACCTCTGGACTTCGTCCATCAGACGGCCGCTGTAATGTAGCGGTTAGCAGTGCGCGCCAACATTCCGCAGGCCTGGGTTCAAGCCCGGTTCAGCGCAACATAAAAAACAAACAAAAAAGTTTTTTCCTAATCGCCGTTCGGAGTCGGCGTAAAACTGTAGTTCCCTCCCCTTGTTTGATAACATCAATGCGCTCCCACAAATCAGAGGAGAAGCCCGGCCAAACACTAACAAATGTATAAGCACCAATTCCATTATTATTATAGTCGCAAAGAATTTCCAAATTTGTTTACTTTGGAAATGAATTATCTCTGCGAACCACCTTCCGCAGTGAACTCAAAAAGAGTGTTTAGTGCATCGGGTAGCATTTAGGTTGAAAATAGAAATGGGTTCTTGACCGACAATGCGGAAATGCTTCTTTCCATAAAGAAAAATATATAAATTTTTAACTCTATTACTAATTAGATACTATTAAATTTGATTATAAAAATGTAAAAAAAAATCTGAACTAGATTTTTAAATAAGATCTGCTTCATTTGGAATTTGGCAGCACTATACATAGCATAACTTTGTTATCGACTACTCGATCAGCTGTATATTTAGTGCGCTGATTTTGCTATCGTTGTTTTTTATTACACTTAATTTTCATATGCGTAACTTTAAAAATAAATGATGTGGAGAGCAAAGAACTTCAGCAAAGAAAATTGATTTTGGACTCCACACATCTCCCAATGTCGGTTAGTAAAATTGCTGAAAATTGGAAGGTCGACGGTACAAAATGTATTGTTAAATATCAAGAAAAAATGCAGCATTGAGAGAAAGGCGGAATCTGGCGGAAAATCAGGCACTTATAAATAAGATAGTGGAGAAGGATGTTCCAAGGACTTTGAAAAGGAATCCGAATCTCTCTGAACGTGTTGTTGCACCTGGAGTATTGTTCTGAGAGCCTGTATTGTTTTGACCTGATTTGGCAACAGGCCGTTGTGCAAAAAAGCGCAACAGTTTTATACACAAAATGGAATCAACATTGTACTAAAAGAGGCCGATCCTCCGAATTGTACAGAGCTCCAAACAATCGAGCGTTATTGGGCCTATATGAAATCAAAATTAAAAGTAAACAAAATGCACACCTTTAAGAATAACGCAGTTCCGCAGAATGTGGCGAAAACAGGCTCAATCGATCAACGAAAGGGATGTCCAAGTATTAATGGCGGGTGTCATCTCTAAAGTACGGGTATTTTGGCGTGGAAACTAATTCTAATAATATTTGTAAATCTTTCATCTAAATAGAAATAAAAGAAGGTTATAAAAAAGTTTGGACTGAATTTTTTATATATTTATATATATTTATATATTTAAATTAGTTTTTTTGTTACTTAGTTCCTGCCAGATTTCAACTGAAGCAGATCTTTGAATCTTCTATAATCAAAATCCGGAAATCCGGCCGGATACTGGCCAGTATAGTCGGATATCAGAAAAAAGGCCGGCTAAGCCGGATTCCGGATATCTACCGGATACCCGGCACACCCCTAATGTTGAGTTCCCTGAGGCTGTATGCTGGTTTAATTCCAGTACTGTACCCGGACTCACACATTGTGGAATCGTCACTGATGGCTACAAAACTGATTCTGGGTCAGGATCTGGAGTGTTTTTCTACGTTAAATTGGATAAGCTTCCATCTTCCAGGCTGAGGTATTCGCAAACCTCAAAGCCATGGACTAAGTGGTGGAAAATAGGTGGAGGAGTTTACGTGTCTGCAGTGACAGCCAAGCTGCCCTGAATACATTGGCCAGCCCTCTATCTAAGTACTTCCAAACGAGTTCGGCAATGCAAGTCTCGACTAAATTATGTTGGTAAACATAACGATCTTGCTTTACTCTGGGTGCCAGGCCATTACCTGGTAATGAGACATCTGATCATTTGGCCACAATTGGTTTAGACCAGGCATTCCACGATCCGCAACCAGTTACAGCACTCCCAACTTTGGGCTTCGACGTCCCCATCAGAAACTGGGCGAATACTTCGCAAAGCAATGACTAGGAGGCATCGAGGGAATCTCAGAAGATATATCTCGTTTTTTGCTCTCACTGAGTAGGCGTGGACCGTAGACAACTTGTTGGACTGCTTTTTCTCTCTCTTTTTTCTATTGTCAGTTTCTAAATTTAGAGTTTGGCGTAAAAAGTTTTGCGGTNTTCTAAAATAAATGCATTTTTTGATTGTTCTTCGTATTTTCTGTCTTTTTTAGTGCCTTGTTTTTCCTTTTTTTGCCTACCTAGTGCTTTTTCCTGCCTTTTTCGCTATTTTTAACCGACTTCCAAAAAAAGAGGAGGTTGTTATCAGTTCGTCGGAATATTTTTTGTTTGTTTTTTTTTATGTATGTTACCGCATAACTTTGGACCACGTCAACCAATAATTCTTTTTGTAATGGAAAGGTAGTGTCTCAGAGGTGGTCCCATACTAATTTGGTTTAGATCCGATCATTGAATCATGAAATATATGTATATATATACATATTTTTTTTAAGTCGGTTTTTTTGCTAAAAATTACTTGTATTTTGCCTTGTTTGCCCTTTTGCAATACCTAGTGCCTTTTCCTGCCTTTTTCGCTACTTTATTTTGCATTTTTTTGCCTTTTTTGCAATACCTAGTGCCTTTTCCTGCCTTTTTCGCTATTTTATTTTGCCTTTTCCACACTATTTCGTTATTTTATTTTGCCGTTTTTATAGGTTTTTAGGTCCTAAAAATCCGTTCCCTGGTAATCACATTATTTTAATAAATAGAGCACATGAAAATATTTTATTTTTATTTTTACCACTCCGAATTTAGTTTTGGAACTCACTCGCGATGCAAATTAAAATCGTTGGATACAATCTTCATATTTTTTGACGAGCTTTGGGAATACATATGTTAGAAATGTTGCAGCAGGGGGTACACCGAAACCAGTAAAGTTTTGAAAGTAGTCTACGAGAGAAAAAAAGTTTGGGAACCTCTAATTTAGTTTCTGCATTACCTGCATACAAATAAAACTTTTAAAAGGAAAACAACGAGGATTATTTTCGTTTTGTCCAATTAACCAATTTTTGTACTACTCTTTCTAGATTCCTTGAAGTATTTACGAAACTAGTGAACTACCCGGAATTAGAGTACTTTAGGAACTAGTTTTCTACCGACCAAAACTTAGCTTTTTTGGTAACAAGTGGTAATTTTGGAATATTGCGCATGCATTTGCCTTTAGTTCCAAATATACAAAGTATTACCAGAAAAGTTTTCGTTTATGTATTTGTTGTTGTGTTTTTTTTTTAAATTTTCAAATCAATTCTTGTCCAATATAAAATTCTTGTCCAAGATGCATACATATGTATGAGATCACATATGCACTTTTTTAATAATTTATGTATTTACATATTTTAATTTTTTAATTTTAGGTTTGACGTTTAAGATTTTCTAAACTTTTAAAGGATCAGTCGCAAATTACTGCATTTACTGCCTCGGTTCCACCCAAATATACATACATAGTACTACTTATACATACATTAATACAGACTTCGATACAACAGAGGCTAGTGCATCATTACAGCACGCCATGGATGCGTCCAGTAATAATATGAAAGTAAGCAATTGGGAAAAATTCAAATTGTTGTTGTGGAAAAACTGGAATCTACAATGGAACCATAAAATCGAACTAGGCGTGGAACTATTGCTGCCAGCGGTCTTCTCTCTGCTGTTGGTATTGGTGCGGGTGTTGGTGGAGGTGGACTCGATGGATATTACCACTTATCCACCATTAAATATCTCGAATTTGGACTTGTTCAAGTAAGCACTTAATAAAATATAATGAATGGAAGTTTTTGAGTGCTATGTACATATGTATGTAAACGCATACATATGTGTATGTACCTTAGGTTAATCCACAGGAAAATCATATTTTAGGAATTTTCCTTCTCCCACCATCCAGAATTGTATAAAACGGTAAGAACAGAAAACCGTATTTTTTACATTTGGAAATCGTTTAATATTTAAGGGTGATGCCGGGCTTCGAAGTTTTCCGTGTATTTTACATGGGAAAATAATTTTTTTTCGTAGAATTGCTATAAAATCGTTAAAAGTAAATATTTTTTGATTTATTTTGGAACGAATTTGCGTCATCCCTTATTTAAAAAAATAGGGACTTGGAAAGCGGTTTAAAAATTGGTTAAAAATAATAAAAACAATTAATTTTTTTGTTGCATAATTTGCCGTTTGGCTTGTTTTGTGCATTAAAACTGTTTTTGATTTTGTCGTTTAATTGTTTTTTGTTTAAACAGCCTTATTTAAAAAAAAAAATAGGGACCTGGAAAGCGGTTTAAAAATCGGTTTAAAATAATAAAAACAACTACTTTTTTTGTTGCATAATTTGCCGTTTGGCTTGTTTTGTGCTTTAATACTATTTTTGATTTTGTCGTTTAATTGTTTTTTGTTTAAACAGCCTTATTTAAAAAAAAATAGGGACTTGGAAAGCGGTTTAAAAATTGGTTAAAAATAATAAAAACAATTAATTTTTTTGTTGCATAATTTGCCGTTTGGCTTGCTTTGTGCATTAAAACTGGTTTTGATTTTTTCGTGTAATTGGTTTTTATTTAAACAGCCTTATTTAAAAAAAAATTGGGACTTGGAAAGCGGTTTAAAAATTGGTTAAAAATAATAAAAATAATTTATTTTTTTGTTGCATAATTTGCCGTTTGGCTTGCTTTGTGCATTAAAACTGGTTTTGATTTTTTCGTGTAATTGGTTTTTATTTAAACAGCCTTATTTAAAAAAAAATAGGGACTTGGAAAGCGGTTTAAAAATTGGTTAAAAATAATAAAAATAATTTATTTTTTGTTTTTAAATTTGCTGTTGGGCTTGTTTTGTGCATTAAAACTGTTTTTGATTTTGTCGTTTAATGGTTTTTTGTTGAAACAGCCTTATTAAAATAAAAAATACGGACTTGGAAAGCGGTTTAAAAATTGGTTAAAAATAATAAAAATAATTAATTTTTTTGTTGCATAATTTGTCGTTTGAATTGTTTTGTGCATTAAAACTGTTTTTGATTTTGTCGTTTGATTGTGATAAGAAAGCTTCTTAATTTTTTGAATTTTAACCATGGCGATTGTTGTTTGTTTAAATTTCAAAGTGGTACATAAAGAAACCGGGTTTGCTTTTCTATTATATTATTATCCTTTTCTTCTAAAAATTATTGAACATTGAAAAAAAAAGAAATTGAAATTTTTGAATTTTTTTTTTTCAAAGGTAAACTAGCTCATCTTAGAACGGCAAAAAACGGCAAATTTTGACATAAAGCCTAGTCGTTTATCTTTGAGTTTGGAGGGGTGCTTCGCTAACTTTATATAAAGTTAGCAAAACACCTTATATCTAAAAAAAAATACCAGAGCGACAAAATTATTTTTTCCACAACTAATTAACGGCAAAAAAACGGCAAATTTATGGGTATATGCGAAATTTTTTGCTTGATGTTGTTTCGCTAACTTTATACACATTACGAAAACCTATTGTTTAAAAGGGATGCAATATTTGGAATAACCACTAGACTAAATGCACTAAGCCAAAAGAAGACTACATATCGATGGTCCTCTGCAATAACGACACAATTAAAGATTCAAAAAATAAAAATTGTTACTACTGTTAAGTCGCTCTTGTATCTTACCCTTGTCTAATCCATTTCCAATCCTAACTAAAATAAGCAGTAAGGATTTCTAAAGTAATTACTAAAGGTTAGACATGGATTCGAGAAGGATTCGAGGCATGAGCCACTTAACAATAGTAACAGTTTTTATTTTTTGAATTTTGAATTGTGTCGTTATTGCACAGGACCAGCGATATGCTGAGAAACTAAACCATTTTTTACTTAAAAAAATTGGTCTTAAAAAGTCACTGACTTATCAAACTACCTTCGCACTTACATAACGTCGCTTAAAATACAAAACCGATTATCGTCGTTCTGCAAAACCGCGTTACTGACATTTTTTGTCAAAAATTGGATTTGCTCAATGAAGCTCTTGGGTCAAGCCATATCCATTCGTCCTGAAATATACTAGCCAGAAATTCGATTGCTTTATAAAAGAGAGAACTATTTTTAAACATGAGTGTTTTTACTCTCTACAAAATTATTTATGCAACCTTACATACGGTGTCAGGTAACGAGATCAACGGAAATAAGGTCAATTGACTTTATTTCCCACCCTGGTGCGAAATAAAGTCAATTGACATTATTATCTTTTCAAAAGCGAAATAAAGTCAACAAAAATTTGGAAATAAAGTAATTGACGCTATTTCCTCATTTAAATGGAAATAGCGTCAACAATGCTTAAAGTATGTCGATTCATAGAAAAAAATGTTGTTCTTACAATAAACATTGCCCCGTAATTCTTGTTTTTTAATAGATGAAAAAGGTTATTGCCAAATCTTCAGTTTGCTATTAATCCACACACAATTGATTTTATTAAAAAATTTAAAATTACGAATAGTAAAAACACGATGCGAAAAAAACCAAACGCAAAACGCAGCTGGAATACGAGAAATGTTTGAAGAAAGAGTGTAGAAATGATCCACAACTTGCAAAACATGTTTCGTTTCCACAAAAATAAAGCGAACACTATTAAATTGAAGAAACAGTTCATGTCCAAAAACCCCGGAGGAACACTGAAGAAATTCTGTGTTTAAAATTAGCATATTTTGAACGAATTCGGAATGTCTAAGGTGGAAAAGAAAACAACCTTTCTACAAGGAAGCAATTATAGAAAAGGAATTTTCTTACACTGTATTCATGTCTCCGCCAGCGATTTGTGACGACATCATTTAAAAGCACCGAAGGAGAACGACGACACTATTTATTAGATGGCACATTCAAGCCAATGTGCCAAAATGCGGGTATAAACAATTATAGATTATTTAATATCGGAACCGAGATCATGTAAGTTAATTGATTGGTTTTTACACACTTCTGAAACACAAATTATATGCCTTTTTACTGCAGACAAGTTGTTGCCAAACACCGCAGAAATCTTACAAATATAAAAATGTGAAATATAGAGGGTTNAGCACCGAAGGAGAACGACGACACTATTTATTAGATGGCACATTCAAGCCAATGTGCCAAAATGCGGGCCGCCGCGAAGCTAAGTAAATTTCATGTTTGGAAGAGCAATAATGTCAATGGATTTTATTTTAATANAAACCATCTGGGACTTATTACCTGTCATCACTGATATTACTTCTGATTTCGTCGGCGTAGCGTGGCGTGGTGTGGCGCTCCGGTCGCGTGGGGTACGCGGACCGCCGCGAAGCTAAGTAAATTTCATGTTTGGAAGAGCAATAATGTCAATGGATTTTATTTTAATAATGTCAATGGATGTCAATGGATTTTCAATTGACCTTATTTCCGTTGATCTTATTACCACTCACCCTCACATGGGCGGTTTTGCGTTACATATCTTGATACGCGGCTTTGTACTTTAAACGACGATATGCATATATTAGGACATTTGAAAGAACAATTTTGTTCAAAAATGTTATAAATATTTTTACTTAACCATTATTAGAATAACATCTTTTACTGCAAAATTGGCCCAACAACAGCAACTTTTCCGAAATGTCCACAATTAAATATGTATATGGTCAAAATTTTTCTCTTTAACGTTACAGTCGCACGTATATTTCTGTTTATATTTCTGAAACGTTGTGTAAAAACCGAACGTTTTTCATATACTCTGATAACAATCCCCAAAAGCTACATTTTATATACAGATATTTCTATCTTTTGTTGCTTTAAAGATAAATGTGTTTTTTGGAAGTCATTTTTGGAGTAACATCACTCGTAAGGAAAACATGGCGAATCCTGCAAAGTTAAAAATTAAACTAAAGTATTTTAATAAAGATCAAGGTCCAAAGAAACTATAAAAATATTAACTTTTGAATAGTACACGTTTATAACAAATCTATAAACCGAAATATGTAGTCTTTAACGTTACTTACCATACTTGACTATATTTTCCCTCCATTTTGATCGTGATTGTGAGGCACAAGAGAAATGAACGTTTCTAGATGCCTTAAGATGTATATCAAAAAAATATATCAAGAGTTGACGGGCTAGTTGAAGAAATATTTTCCAAAATTTTGACCATATACATAAATATGCACATACATATGTATGTACATATGTACATATGTAGGTGTATGTAAGCATACAAATTTGGGATTTTGAAATTATAAAACTAGGAGCAAAAATGTTTTAAGTTTTCGATAAGAGAAATTAGCAATATAATTATTATTTTATTTTAGAGGCTATTTCTAAGAGGTGCATGATTGTTATTTAAATTGAAGTAGAATAAATAAAAATCTAATGTTCTGGAAAATAAATACCGTAAATATAAAATTTCGGCTAGTAGTAAAATCTGCCAGTTTGTGAGCGGAACTTAGTACAGAGGAGTCGCATTTTCGCAAGTGTGACCACAAGACCGACTCCTAATTAATAGACACATTTTTATAAAGCGCAAGCACATGTGTGTGAGCCGATTTTAGTACTCATGTGCTCATGCACATGCACATAATATATTTTTAAAAGAAACTTTTTTATAAAACTTTGTTTTTTATAACACAATTCAATGAAAAGTAATATGTTGTTTGTTTTTTATGACAGAAAACATATTCAAAGGTTATTTTAAGCAAGGCGAATTAATATAAGGTGATAGCAGGAGTACAAAAACAAAAATTTACATGTATTTTGTTTTTGCTTTGGCGGCATAAACTGTCAAAATCTGTAAGAGTCTGTGTAGAAATTCAAACAAAATTATTCAATTTGATATCAGAAGCCATGCGGCGAAACACATCCACAAAATCAGCTGAGCTAGTAATACCACCTTATATAAATTCGCCTTCATTACAACGCTTTTATCAACTTGCAATGTTGTGTGTCCAGAAACTTTCAATGTTGTGGATCCAGAAACTTTCAATGTTGTGTGTCCGACACCATAAAAGCTTTGCTTTGAAAAGTTCATATAAAAAAGCATAGTGCATAGGGCGACATCTGTAGTGAATAGGGCGAGGTAGATGACATCTAGATGTCGCCCTATGTACTACGTTTGCTACAGCGGAAATAGACGACACGCCATTTCTTTAAATAAAATTAATTGGTGCTCGTTTGTATGTACATACATATGTAAATGCATGTGTGTGCACCTTTCTATTAATATCGTTGAATTATTTTAATATCTATTGCAAAATTTTATTCAGACAGGACTAAAAAGTAGAAAATAAATAATATAAAAAAAACTTTTTAATATACAACGCTTTTATAAATGGA